CTTTCTTTCTTTTTTTCTTTTGCTAAGCACTCTGTGTCAGCAAAACAATAAAACACAGTTAAAGCAAAGTAGTATATAGTAGGAAAGTATTACTGTAAGTCTATCAGTCTATTGTACTATTGTAATGATTTTACCTGCTATTCATTTGACTGGGTATTGCTCCTTGAATAACTCAATATGAGTTTCTAAAATGTTCTCCACACATATAGAGCATAACAGAACTTTTACAACAAATTTAAACCTTGCAACCTGGCAATGATTAATCTGCAATATCACTGCTTAAAGTCTATAGTACTGTCTCCCCTGACAGAAGCTACTGAGAGAGCACAGAGGCTATTCATTTTGTCAGAGGCTGGGGGCACAATTGCTTTAAAGACTTGAATGATGAGTGAAAGCCAGTGTTTCCCACAGTGCAGAGGTTTAGCAATGGCAAAGAGGAAGGGAGATATGCAAAAGTTAAGCCACTGTACTGAGCAAACATTGGTGTTGCTACCTTCATCTTACAGACAAGTTTGTTCCACACTTTTTCTTTTACAAGAGTGGTTTTAAGATGCACTGTGTGACTTTGCTTCTCTGTAGAGTAAAAGTTACCCAGATAAAAAAAGAGAAAGAAAACAATAGCATGAAACATGGAACGGGGCTGTTATTAAAGAATTTATAGAGAGGGAAAGAATGGAAAATTTAGTTCTGCAAGAGATGTGAAACAATACAAGGAAGAACAAAAATTCAGACTCTGAAAGCTCCAAGTCAGCAGTGTTCGACTCACTAGAACACGAGTTGGCCTTTTTCATAGGAGGGGTTGATCTCATTCAGTTTCATCATCAGAAAAGATGGGACATGTTACAATTCACATTCCTTTAGTGTTTCGTGTAGAACACAATGAACTATTGGAACTTGTACCATGGTGTCCACACAACACACCATACTGATAAAGACAGGCAAAAGTAGAAGGGAAAAGAGTGGATGTAGAGGCTAAAGGCAAGAAATAATATACTAAGCTTTTAATTTCCCCATTTTCTTACAGAGCAAATTCTCTAATTTGGGCTAGTACAGAATCAGAAATAAAAAGAAACAAATTTAGTTTGGGAAGGTCCTCTGGCAGTGTAGTTTTCTATACTAGTGAAAAACTCCACAGGTAAATCATGTTTCCAAGGGCCTTGTCCAGGCAAGAATCAAGGAATAGTGATTTCCCTCTTTGGGCAGAAAGCAAAGTACTGTAACAAGGCTGGCAGGGCGAAGAACTTCATAGCCAGGGCCTGATTTCACAATGTACAAGTGAGGCAAACTTAAATCAATAAAGTCCATAGCCAAGCATAGCTGTGATGGAACTGTAAGAAAATACACCTCTGACATAGATCAGGTAGGTATCAAAAGTCCAGACCTGAACTTAATTGGAGACCCTGGACCAATGGCACGTGCATGGTTGCAACCCAGGTGCTGTGGGTCAAAGCAATTACAGCCTATTAATGCACTCAGGTTCCTGCAGAAAGTTTTGGGTATCACTCAAGATGGAGAAGGATGGAAGCAGTAGATTTCTTTGTCGTGTTTCCTCATAAATGAATTATTAGGTTAGAACAAGATCACTTCTCAAACAGCCAGCTTTGCTGGCTGAAACAAATTAAGCTGAGTCTCAAAGTTGCCTACTGTGGCCTTTTCAACTATCGTACTGAACAGTTCAGCAGCTTTATGCAGAATTCCTCAAATTAAAACACAATATGTTTTTTTCTTTCCAAGTTTCTTTGTAACTTCTAACTGTTGAGACTAGATCCTAGGATAATCAGATCTCATTTAGGAAGTTTCTCAGCCTGCTTCTCCTCCTCTGGCTGACATGACTTGCACTTTGGAAACTTCTGTACTGACCAATCTCAGCTACTGTGAGTAGAAAAGGACAATCCCTATACCAGGCTCCAATGTCAGAGAATTCCACATGAAGAACACTGCACTGTTGGCAGTGACTATCTGCAACAGTTGTCATAAGCTTCTGTTTTCATGTGTTCTGACTGCAAGGCAGAGGCACAGTCCAATACTTTGCTTCAGATACAGAAAGCTACTGCAGCATCTTCACAGACACCCTTTGTATGAACACCTGGGCAATGGAAACACTGACTCTCTAGATGTCTGTTGTGAAGTGCTAAATTGAGCTGTATTCTAAGTGCTAAACTGAACTCCATGATTACAGAGTTAAAAGACCATAAAGAATTGGCTGATGGCAGTGTGACGTTCCTCCTCATAAAAGAGAGTCGTCAACTCAGGAAATAAAAAGCACAATAGCTGGCTTTCAAGTTAGCCACAGGATGAGAAGGTTTAGCCTTCTCATTAGAAGTCAACTGTCAGATTGGAAAAACGTAATAGTAAACTTGAACTACACTGCATTGTTTTTAGTTATTGTTCCCCAAGATCACAGAATTGCAGAGATTGGAAGTGACCTCTGGGAATCAAGACAAAAGCTCTGCTAAAGCAGGTTCCCTACAGTAAGTGCATAGGAAGGTGTTCAGTCAGGTCTTGAGTATCTCTAGATAAGGAGACTCCACATCCTCATTAGGAAACCTGTTCCTGTGCTCAGTAACACCCACTATGAAGAAGTTCTTCCTCATGTTTGTATGGAATTTCTTGTGTTAGAGTTTTTGCCTGTTGTCCCTTGTCCTGCCACTGCACACCACTGAAGAGTCTGTCCCATCCACTTGTCTCCGCCACTTTATATGTTTTTAAAGTTACGAGATCACCTCTCAGCTTTCTCTTCTCCAGACTGGAGAGACCAGGTCTCTCAGCCTTTACTTACAAGAGAGATGCTCCAGGCCCCTCATCATCTTTACAGCTCTCTGCTGGATTCTCTTTAGAAGATCCCTGTCTTTTTAAGCAAGTAGCCCAGAACTGGACACAGTACTCCAGATGGGGTCTCACCAAGGCAGAGTTGAGGGGTAGGAGAACCTTCCTTGACTTGCTAGCCACAATTTTTTAATGCACCTCAGAATATCGTTGGCCTTCTTGGCCACAAGGGGAACACTGCTGGCTCATGGCCTACCTGTTGTCCACCAGGACCCACAAGTCCTTCTCCATAGGCCATCTTCCTTTCCAGCAGGCCATCCCCCTAACCTGTACTGATGCATGCAGTTATTCCTCCCCAGGTGTAGGACACTACATTTGTTGAACTTCATAAGGTTCCTCTCCACCCAACTCACCAGTCTATCCAAGTCCTGTTGAGCAGTGCCATAATCCTGTTGTATGTCAGCCATTTGACTCAGCTACATATCTTCAGCAAAGTTGCTGAGGGTGGAATAAATGCTTAAATGAGCTTGGAAGAATCATAGAACCATAGAATGGCTCTATGACCTTAAAGATCATCTAGTTCCACCCCTCTGCAATGGGCAGAGTTGCCATCCTCTAGATCAGGCTTCCCAGGTGTGAATGGACTGTCTGACCGCCCAAAGGTACCTTCTGACCTACAGAAGAAGTTCAGTCTGAACTGAAATGATCCTTGGTGTCACAGCTGCAGTTGCAGTAACCATACTGAAGATAGTTAACTTTGGTAACTATCCAAAGACCTACATGCAGAACAAACTGTACGGTATATGGAAATCACACTGAAATGACAAAAGAACTCGGGAATGGTGGTAATGACCATTGCCTCTGCAGGGATGCCTGCAAGGTCCTGAGCCTACTGATCCCATACCTTATGGCTAATCACACCAATCTCCTGGTGGATTGGTATATATGCAATAAAACACTTAAATACTCACTTTGGCTGATAATGTGCATGAACATGTGTTTTGTGCCTCATCCTCGATTCCAAACACGCTGATACACCAGGATACCATCCAAGTGGTACTTAAAATGTCAACTAACTCTCTTGGGTCCCCTTTCCTTCCAACGCTCTATCAAAATAAATGTTTGTTTCCTGCAGTCCTGATCCTTCTGATGTACTTATGGCAGCGTGCCTGTATGTGTCATTCCAATTATAAACATTTCCTCCATCACCTATTATTGCAATCTTTGTCACCCACAGCCTTTACTATAAAAGTCCAAAAATAAAAGTGTCAGAGCAAATCCTAATTTGAATTTGATACCAAACCAAATCAAAAGGGCTGTAATACTAGAATAACCATTGAGACATATAATTTTGTTCTGCAAAACTTAAATGTCAAGATCGTCTTTCCTTCAAAACATGATTATCATTGTCCCAGTTTTAGGTGGGATTAACTTTCTTCCTAGTGTCTGGTATGGTGCAGCTTTTTAAATTTAGGATGTAAATAATGTTGATAAAGCACTGATATTTTGTTGTTACTGGTAAGTGCTTCAACTAACTGAAGGACTTCACAGCTTCTCAAATTGCTCTCGCCACCCAGGAGACTGAATGTGCACAAAAAGCTGAGAGGGGACAAAATCAGGACAGCTACTCCAAACTGGCCAAAAGTATCATTCCATAACATATGACATCACATTGAACTATAAAATTGAGGAGGGTTGGCAGGAGGGTTGCCAGTGCTTGAGAACTGGCTGGGCATTGGTCAGTGAGTGATGACCAATTACATTATGCATAACTTACTCTGTACATTCTTCCATCTTTATTACTATTATTTTCTGTCTTATTCAACATTTCAATAACCCATAGGACAACATGAGTAAATATTTATATTAGAGGCCTCATCAAAATCATTTTATCAGATGTTTTATATTTATAGCATACTGATTATTAGCCTTAATTTAACCCTTTTTTATTTCATGTAAAATTAGATTTTCTATACTTTCACATCTCCTTACATCTGTTTTCGGACTGTTTATTTCTGAGTGCTGAATAGAAGATTCCATCTAAATCAGTTTTGTTAATAAGATTAATGTCTACTAAGTAGGTTGCTCCACAAGTAATGCCTCCTATTTATCTTCATGGAAACTATAACAAATGCAAAAAGCGTAACAACACTGTTTGATAGAGCAGATTTTCAGCTACATAACGCTATTTTTCAATGTAGTTACCAACATTAGCTATGTATTTTCACCAGTGATGAATGAGAGCCTGCATTCCATGCTCATAAAAAAAACAGACCAGTGGAGATGACCCACTGTTTCACAGATCTTATGATGTTGCTGCTAGAAAAATGTTGCCCACATAGTCCACCTTTCTTTGGTCTGAACAGGAGGAAGCCAGAAGGGAATAAATCCAGAATATACAGTGGGTTTTGTAGAACAGCCCAGGCAAGATTGACAATGTGCACCATGGTCTTCAAACTGGTATGGTACCTGGCATTACCATGTTGACAGAGAAAATGTCTCTTTTTTCATGAGCCTGATTCTGGAAATTCAAGCTTTCAGCTTCATCTGCATTGCGATGTAGTGGTCAGAGCTGATGGTTTGTCCAGGTCCCAGGAAGTCCAGAAGGATCACCTCCTTCCTATCCCAAAAGACAGTGCACATCATTTCACCCACTATAACCTTTTGGTTTGCAAAGGTGACACCATGTCTCATCACTGGTAATGACATGATCCAGGAAACTGTCACCCTCAGCCTTGTGTTGGTTCAGTGGGTCCTGACAAGCTTTCCTGCAGTGTTCTTTCTGCTCCTGTGTAAGCATTTGTGGGACCCACACAGTGAAAAATTTGTAATATTCCAAGATTGACACAACTGTTTCCAAAGCACTCGAGCCAATATTCAGCTCTGTACCCAGTTTCCTTATCATAATCTGATGATTCACACAGATAAGCTGGCTGAACAACTCTTCATTTTCATGGCATGACTGCTGTGCATTAATTACAGAGCAGCTTTCATAAACGTCCACCTGAATCTATCTGCTTGAATTAATGGTGTGCCTGCTGCGTTCATAGCATCATAGAATGACTTGGGTTGGAAGGGACCTCAAGGATCATCAAGGTCTAACAACCCCCTGCCAAAAGCAGGGTTGCCAGCTGCTAGATGGAGTACTAGATCAGGTTGCCCAGGGCCCCATCCAACCTGGCCTCCAGGCATGGGGCATCCACTACATCTCCAGGCAACCTGTTCCTCACCAATCTCTCTGTAAAGAACTTCCCCCTGACATCTAATTGAAGTCTCTTCCCATTTAGTTTAAAGCCATTCTGACTTGTCCTATCACTATCTACCCATGTAAAAAGTTGATTTTCCTCATGCTTATAAACTCCCTTTAAATTTTGGAAGGCTGCAATTAGGTCTCCCAAAGCATTCTTTTTTCCAGGGGTGAACAAGCCCAGTTCCTTTAGCCTGTCTTCATAAGAGAGTTGTTCCACAATCACAGTGACTAGCAATAAAAGAAAAGAAGGGACTATCTTGTGACTTACAAGCAGTTTTATCTTTCCCTCTAAATGGAAAATGGAAACAAAACAGTGAAAGCCCTCTGGGATGTGTAGTTTTTCTCTTCTGAGAACCAGGTACACGGAAATATCAACAATCCATGGAACTGGAGTATTAACTCCAGTCCCTGTGCTCTACATGATGTTATGATGCAGAATACTGATTAAAAAAAATCAAACATAAAACAATGACGGGGTGTGGTGAGGGACCATGTCAGAGGCCTTGCAGAAGTCCAGGTGGATGACACCAGTTGACTTCCCTTTGTCCACCCATGCTGTCGTTCCACCATAGAAGGCCACCAGATTGGTCAGGCATGACCTTCCCTTGGTGAAGCCATGCTGGCTGTCTTGGGTCACCTGCTTATCCCTCATGTGCATTAAAACATCTTCCAAGAGGATCCGTACCATGACCTTCCCAGGCATAGAGCCTCATGCTCACTGGCCTGTAGTTCTCCAGGTCCTCCTTCCTCCCTTTCATGGGAGCAATGTTTCCCTTTTTCCAGTTCCTGGGGACTTTGCCTGACAGCCATGACTTTTCAAATATGATAGACAGTAGCTCGGCAACCACATCAGCCAGCTTTCTCAGGATGCTGAGGTGCATGTCACCTGGCCCCATGGACTTGTACAAATTCAGTCTCATGAATCAGTCTTGAACTTGCACTGCCCTTACAGTGGGAGAGAGTTTGCTCCCCAGATTCACACTGAGAGGTTTATCTTCAGAGATGTGAGAATTCTAGCTGCCAGAGAAGATGGAGGCAAAGAACTCATGGAGTACTTCATGTACTACCTGTACTTCATGTACTACCTGCTTTTCCATTTAACAAAGAAGGTATCCTCTCTTCAGCCTCTCTCTTCCAACCTATATACTCATAGAATCCCCTCTTGTTGTTTTTAACATCCTTCACTGTCACAGTTATCTCTAGATCTAAGTGGGGACACCAGGCCCACCAGTCTGGAAAAGAAGAGAGGGGAAAAATAAAAGTGTTAACAGTTTACAGGCTGTCTGGCCAGATCCTGTGACCAATGGCAGGGGACTCGTGGGCCCACACTGTGGGAGAGGGGAGTGAGAGAGGGAGATAGAGAGATGGAGGGAGAGAGAGAGATGGAGAGTGATGGAGAGAGGGAGAGGCAGACTGACCTGCCAGGACCTCCACCTTTCTTCCTTGGGTGCAAAGTATGCTGGGGAAATGCTGCTTCTCCCCTTGCCTCCAAAAACCAAACATCCAAAAAATGGCAGTCCACAGACCATCAACTCTTCAACTCCCACTGCTTTATATGATGTTCTGATGTGAAATACTGAAAAAAAAAAAAAACAAAAAAAACCCCAAAAACAAAAAAAACCCAATACCACGACATTCCACCCCTTATTCCACATCACTCCATCATGCTTGACATATATTTATATACAAACAAACCGTAATTAACATGCATGTATAACCAAGATGTTATAATTTTGTATAATCAAGATGTTACAATCGCAATACAATCAATGAGAGTAAGGCAAAGCAGACAACGATCACAAAAGAGAATAAGTGGAAGAGCTTACCCTTGGGTTGAGCTCACCAGAAGATACCAAAGAGGGGATCTCCAGAAGAGATCCTTCCCCTCTGGTAGCCAGCTCTTAAATAGGTCCAGGAGGGGTGGAGCCTGGCTCCCCCCCTTCCGGCAGCACAGGTGAATTGCCTTCACCTGTGCTCCTCTGGCTGACTCAAGGCTCACCTCAGGTGATTAATCAGAGGTTCAGGCCGTGACTCAGCAGTTCCCATACAATGCATTACACACACACATATCTATATACATATACACATGGAATTACTGACTGCACTCCCCCAGCACCAAATTCCCTTGTGGCACACACTGAACATCCCCGTTTCATTGCATCACCCACCAAGTGGACCTAAGTCCCTGAGCAAAAACAGTTCCATGGAGAGGTCTGCCCTTCCCAGAAGCTGGAAGGACCTGAACTGCTTTTCCCAACATGCTCTTTACATGTACCACAGGGACCTTATCTCCCTCTACAGCATGTAGGAAGCTGGATTGGATAGAACCAATCTGATTGATCCTCTAGCGTTGACCAACCAGGTGGCCTCTGCCAAATGCTTCTCCCAGTGCTTAAATGTTCCACCACTCATTGTTTTCAACATAGTTTTTAACAATCCATTTTATTGTTCAATTTTACCAGAAGCTGATGCATGATAGGGGATATGATAAATCCACTCAATGCCATGATCTTTGGCCCAAATATCCACAAGTGAATTTTTGAAATGAGTTCCATTACCTTACTCAATGCTTTCTGGAGTGCCATGTCACCGCAGGACTTGTTTCCCAAGACTGAATTTGGTGTTTTGGGCAGTAGCATGAGGTACTGCATATGTTTCAAGCCACCTCCACCACGGTAAGCACATAATGTTTACCATCATGAGTTCGTGGCAAGGTGATGTAATCAACCTACCACACTCCCCCATATTTATACTTTTGCAATTGCCCTTCCCCCCAGAGAGGTTTCATCTTCTTGCTTGTTTAGATGTGGCACATATGTCACAGTCATTAATAACCTGTGCAATAGTGTCCATAGTTAAATTCACCCCTCTGTCTCCAGCCCGCTTATATATTGCATCTCTTCCTCGATGGCCTGAGGTCTCATGGGTCCACTGAGCTAGAAATAATTCACCCTTGTGTTGCCAGTCCAAGTTCTTTTCCACAGACTCCAAGCGGGACCTTTCTCTCCAGCAGCAGTACAAAGGATGCTCCTTACATCCTGTCCCATTCACACTTGCTCCAAGGCCACGGCATGGGCTATCTCCTGTTTAATCTGATAAAAAGCCTGCTGCTGCTCAGAGCCCCACTTAAAATTAATCTTCTTCTATGTCACCTGATAAAGAGGGCTTACAAAGAGGCTGTAGTTTGGAACAAGAATTCTCCCAAAGCCCACTGCACCCAGAAAAGACTGTCTCTCTTTCTTGCTAATGGGTGGAGACATAGTAGTGATTTTGTTGATCCCATCTGCTGAGACATGATGATGCCCATCTTGCCATTTTACTCCTAGGAACTGAATTTCCTGGGCAGGTCCTTTCACTTTGTTTTGTAGCAAAACCAGTACGAATTTGGATTATTTGCTCTCCTTTCTTGAAAACTTTCTGCTGTATTACCCCACACAATGCCATCAATGTACTACAGGTGCTCGGGAGCACCGCCCTGTTCCAATGCAATTTGGATCAACCCATGTCAAATGGTTGGGCTGTTTCCACTCCTGGGGCAATGGTTCTAGTTATACTGAACACCCCTCCAGATGAAAGCAAACTGTAGCCTGCATTCTGTGGCCAAAGGAACGGAAAAGAAGGTGTTAGCAATGCCAATGGTGGCATACCATTTGGCTGCTTTTGATTCCAGTTCATACTGGAGTTCTAACATGTCCAGCACAGCAGCACTGAGTGGGAATGTGCCTTCATTCAGACAGTAGTCTACCATCAGCCTCCACTCTCCACTGGCTTTACACACTGGCCATATGAGGCTGTTAAAAAGTGAGTTTTCCTTCCCCCCCCACCGAGGACAGGGCCCCTGTCTTGGTTATCTGCAGTAACTGGAGCAATTTAATTGGGGGTTGATCTGTTTTGCAATTCTCTCACTTGTGCTTGTTATGCAGGATTGGGTTTTTTATGCCATTTCTTCATGTTTCCTCCATGTTTACGGAACATGTTTCCTTCATGTTTCCTCCATGTTTACGGAAGTAACTCTACAAGGCAGCATGCAACATAGATTTACTACTGTAATTTGCTCAAGCAGGAAGACATTTGCATTTGATAGCTGAGATTTTAATCAGTTTGAACAGCTCCTTCAGCAGACTCTTGATCATCTTGATCTTCATCAGGTGTTTCTGATACCGCCATGAGTTCATCACAATTAATCAATTAATTAATTGGAGACAATTCCTCCAACATACCGTCCTGTTTTTTTCTTCATTATTTTATCTATCATCTTACCCAGTTTATCTAGTCTTTCTGTTACCTGGGAAATGGCTGATATGGAGGCATGGGATGGAGGTAATTTTTGTTCAAAGTTTTGAAGCATAACAATCAGTTCAAAAACCGGGGTCTTCTTTGTTGGTCCTCATCAAGGACCCTATGGAACGTTACTACAAGTATACCAGCGTATCTTTCCAGTGCTGTTCTTGTGAGTTTCTGCCATATATCAGATGTACTCCTAACTCTCTCAGGATCATGGTGGGTTGTTAGGAACAAACATGGGGTCATACAACATCTCTGCCATGGCTGTTTCTCTCAAATACCGGATACCTTTTTCAACAGTATTCCACTTTCTCATCTCAGGCTCCAGATCATCTGTGAAGGGATATCTTTCCTTCACAGCTAGTGACACTCCTTCCCAGAGGGTGACAACTCCATCCAGACATCTACTGATTCCTCTGTCAATAGCTGAGTCTCTGGCAAAGCTTCCCAGTTGATGAGCTTTGTTGCAATCTAGAAACACACTACTGGCCCTGTTGTCCCAACACCAAAGCAGCCAGGTGACAATAGTTTTGTTTGGGTGCCGTATGAGCTCCTTTCATGAGCCTTAGATTTCACCCATTTTCAGGGATCTATGAGTAGTGGTAACAATGGCTTCCTCCTCCTCACTTTTATCTCCATGTCTCTTAGTTTTTTCTGTTGCCTTTCTCAATTATGGCGATTTTGGGACAGGCCCCTCACCTGGATCTTCCTCTACTTCTTTCCATTCTAGATTTGATGACACCCATTTCCACTTCTGCCCCTCCACAAGGGCAACTGACATTGATACTGGTGCGTCTTGTGATTGGACAGGTTTGACTCGAGATTTACCCTTTTGTTTTGCATCTCAGCTTGGAAACTCTCTTTCTCCTGTATAGATTTATATAAAGCTCGGTAAGCACAAGCCAAGCTTGTGCTTGTTTGTAAAATTAGCTACTCCCTCTGTATAGGTACCAGCCAGATACCTCCATCAGTGCCCTTAATTGGTTACACATACATGCAACTCTGAAACTGAAAATGATGAGCCTAATAAGAAACCAGTAAGTTCCAAGAAACATAATGGTCTTTAATTCTTTATATAATGCTCTTAAAATGAAGAACAGATTCATTCACAGCTGGCAGTTGCTAGAAAAGGAAGACTGCACTGACTGCACTCGTACAGTGTCTAGAGTCTTGAGAGTCTAGAGTCTTGCTGACTGTTGTGATGAGGAATTCTAACAGAAAACCACAAAACCACAACACTCACCAAGTTCCATCTGTGTCTTGTCTTTCCTAATCCCTTATCTGCAAGTCTGGACAGCATCCCTGTATTCTTCCCAGGTGCCACACTCTTGCTTCCACTGTGTGTACCTGCCTATCTTTACCCTCAGTTTGATCAGCAGGCCCTTGCCATGCCATGCTGGTTTCCTGCCTCCCTTACCTCCTTTCTTATTCTGAACATTCTCAGAAATGGAACATTCTCAGACAGGCATCCTTAAGAGTAGCCAGTTTTGTTCACCTCCTTTGTCTCTAAGGTCTTCTTCCTAGAAGATCTCATTCAACAATTCCTTAAACAATCAAAAAATCTCTTTCTTGAAATTCAGGGCCCTGACTCTACTCTTTGCTAGTGCCTCAAGATCATAAACTCAGCCAGGGTGTGGTTGCTGCAGCCCAGGCTGCCTTCAATATCAGTATCTTTAACAACTTCCTCCACATTAGTGAGCATCGTTTCCAGTAACACTTCACCTTTTATTGGTCTGTCCAAAATCCGAACCAGAAAGTTATTGTCAATGGATTCCAGGAGTCTCCTGGATCACTTGCAGCTCACCACGTTGTCTTGCTAGTGGATATCTGGTTAATTGAAATCATCCATCAGGATGAGAACCTTTGAGTGTGAAACTTCTTTCAGCTTACAAATGAAGGCTTCATCAAAAGGCTCCTCCTGAACAGGCAACCTGTAGTAGAGCCTGACCACCAACTGTCCTCTATTGGTCCTATCCCTAATTTTAACACACAGGCTCTCTGCCTGTTCCTGGCTCTTTCTCAGAGCTCCTCCACTCCTTAACACAGAAGGCAATGATTCCACCCACTCCTCCTACGTTGCCTATCCCTTCTAAAATGTGGTGGTGTTCCAGTTTTGTGAATCATCCTACCATGTTTCCATGATTGCAACAAGATCAAAATTTCCCAAGTGCACCACGGTTTTCAGCTCCCCTCTCTTATTTCCCATCTTGCCAAACAAAAACATTGTGGTGGTCCAAAGCAATATTGTCACAAGTTGAGAGATTTGGGTTTTATTTATATATATAAAAACTCTGATGTAATATTTCATGAATTATTAGTTAATGATGTAATGCATCGTTCCAACAGTGTGCATTTTATACACAGATCCATACAATGTCTTAATCTCATTCTACCTTTGCTCTTCTCTCATTTCTTATCCCTGGAAGGGTACAATAAAGATGATCTAGTGTTAAACCTGGCACGTATTACAACACTATTTCTCTCACGCTCGTTGAAATGAACAACAAAGAAAAAGAAAAACAACTTAAGAATAGAGTTTCTTTTCCCATTCTCTGGTTCATATTGGGCAAAAGGAATCCGGGCGCTCAGAAATCACAGCTCTCATATTACAGAGTATCCATTGTAATTGGAGATAATCCACAACCCTGTTTGATCTTACCATTCTTTATAGAATTACACTTACACTTCATCATGTGGATCTCCATGTTTACAACAGAAGGGAGCTTTAAAAGAAATTGGTTCCTCTGTTCATTCAAAAGTTGTTCGTTCCAAAGTTTCTTATTTTTTGGCTCTTGACCTTTCCTGAACATAGAAATTGTATCAGAATTAAATTGAATCAGAATTAAACACCGCAATCCTAATTTCTCACCACTCTACCATCTGTGACAAGATTTTTACGTACGTCATTGTACATGAGTATCTTTGTTTCTTCCAGTGGAATTCTTAAGCACCTCTGGTGGTACTCAAAAATCACCAGTTAGTTACTTCTGATTTTCTTTTCAATGCTCATGCATGATTCTATGGACACTATTCAGCATGTTTTGAAGAGAGAATTATTATGTTTATGTATTTTTGATAATTACATTTGTCAGTATAATTTATCATTGTTTCTGGTTTCTTAGTATCACTAGTTTTGATAATTACCTGTACCATGATGAAATTAAACTAAAATGTGCTCCAAAATATCCTTGCCTCTGCAGTAAAATTAATAACACTGTGAATCTACTGTCAATAACAAAGGCAGTATTCCACTCATTTTCTGGAGTTTGGAACAACACAGGGGAAGGACGTTCCTAAGACAGTTGTTTTTCACGTAGCTACGTTCCCATTACTGTAGTTACACCATAGTTTGAATGGGGGCAGATCTACCAAGACCATACTAGATATCCAGCTGTTATGTCTCTTTCTCTCTCCTTTCCTTGCGGTGAGCCCTACTATCTCCACATCTGTGACTTCACTATCATTTTGATGGCCAGAATCAATTTCCCACCCACTTCTTTGGAGGCCTCTACTCAATCACTGCTTTAGGTAGATATCCCACTGAGGCATGCGACCCACAAACCTATCTGAGTCCTCTTACAAAAGGCATTGGTATGTACTGACGGAATTCTTCTGCTCTGTTACAGAACTTTGCTGGGAAAGGAGGAGAGCAGAAGAAAAAAAAGGCTCTAGTTTCCAAACCTGCTTTTGCCACTTTTTCCCTGCACCGAGAAGGAAGTTTAGGGTAATTGAGAGCTACTGCTCATCGCAAACGCTACATCATGAATATTTAATTTTTTGATAAGCCCATCCACTGATTCCTGGAGTTTGCTTCACCCTGGGTCAGAGCTTATATGCGCACTCTAGCATGGATCGTGGAGCCTTCCGCTGTCCTCTGAAACCGACAGCTGCTGTGTAGAGCAGATTTCTAGGAACCACTTACATCTGACAATTCCGTAGTGTGCAGAGGACTTCTTTTGTCTAAAAGTATCCAAAAGCTGATCTGCTAAGCTCCTGCTTAGGACTCGTGCATGGTGTCATCCCTTAGAGGTTCAGCGCCCTACAGCCTGGCCCTAGTTTCCTTTGGAAGTTAGCCTCTGTCTGCTGCTAACTGAGAAGCAACAGCCTGTCAGCCCTAGTGCTGCAGGCACGTACGGAAGTCAAGATACGACAAAGGAGAAGGAGCTTTTTCGTGCCCAATAGCCATGGCTAGAAAGCAAACAAACGAAACTAAATAATCCAGTTTATCTTCCAAGCACTTGGCCAGACACACCCTCCTCACGCCGCTTTCGCAACGGCACTCGGCTGGACCTATTTACCCTCACCGACACCGTATCTCGCCTTCGTTTCCCCTGCGGCGCACCCCAGGCGGCCCCCGCCGTTCGCACGACAGCCTCGGCCTAAGCGCTTTCGGCCGAGGAAAGGGGCGGCGGTAGCAGGAGGTGGAGACAGGCACTAAGCCACCACCTCCCGCCGCCCGAGGAAACGGCTCTCACGTGAGGGAGGCGGTAGCGCCGAGCTCACCCTGCCCGCTACCTCGGAGGAGGTGCTGCCGCGTCCCCGGCTCCGCGTGCGGCTCGGCGGCGCGCCAATGCCCACCAACTTCACCGTGGTGCCGGTGGAGGCGCAGGGCGGGGAGCGGGACTCGGCGGAGCGGGATGCGTGGCGACAGGAGGAGGAGGAGGAGGACAACAGGGACCGGAGCTGCGGTGAGAGAGGGGAGCGGGGTGGTGGCGGCGGGCGCTCGGTGAGGGCAGCGCCGCGTCTCCGCGTCAGGGGCAGCGACGCTGCCGGGCGGTCGAGCGGGCCGAGGCTCTCCCGGGGGGCCCCGCGCCGGCTGCTGGGGCGGATACGTTTCCTTTCCGTAGTGGGTGGCGTCCGCTCTGCCTACGCAGGTGAGGCAGTGCGCTTCGGGAGAGGGTGAAAGTCCAACGCGAGAGGCGGCTGAGAGCTTCTGTTCGCGCGCTGCTGCACCGCCGCCGGCTGGGACGAGGGGCAGACCCGGCTCAGCTCGGAGCGGCGCTGCGGCCCGCCGAGCGCAGTGAGCGGCTAGTCCGCCTGCTATCGCCTGCTCAGGAGAGCAGGAGGAACCAGCGCAGCAGGCAGGGTGGAAGATGTGTCTCTTCTTAAAAGTCAAGTCCTGCCAGAGTATGCTAGAGCAAGAGGCAGGAGGAAAAGTTTCAGGCCGTGGAGAAAAGCGTAATCGTAGGTGGTTTGTTTCAGGGCCAGCCGTGTGCCTTTCTGCCAGCATCCGTCTCTCATTAGGCGAGGTTTTTGCTGCCTGGCAGTGCTGTGGTAGGAGCCTTGCCTTCTGCTAGGCCTCACCCCTGAAGTTGCGAAGGTGAGCAGAACAGAGCCTGAGGTGAAGCTTTGTAACGTTGTAAGCAGGACAGTCCTCAGGGCAGCCTGTTTGGCGACAGGATGAACATTTGTCTACAAGCAGCGGTGGGTTAAATAAGAGCTTTTCTCACTCAGGCGGTAAGGCTTGTCTAGGGAAGCAATAACTCTTCCTTCAGCTGAGGAACTTCCTCTTTGCAGAGCATGTTGCAGCAGCAGTTCCAAGTATGGTCCCTGAACTGCTGCTAGCAGTATGAAGACTCACTGAGTCTTACGTGGTAGTTTGGACACTGCATTACAGTCAAAACGTGTTCTGAGCCCAAGTTCAGTAAAGGAGACTAAATGCTCTACTCAAATTCACGGGCTGAGGAAATGAGCAATGTACGTAATGTTTCTTGAGGTACTGTATGGATGTGTGTACTGTGTAAAGCTGTGATGCATAAGATTGTTAAATTAATGCTTTGTAATCAAATAGTTATCCGTAGCTCATTCTCCTGAGAACTTAATAAAAAAAAATCCTAAAATACAAGCTTTGTTATTGGCAGCTAAAAGGTAGTGTGATTAAGCCCATCTAAAGGCTTTTGCTAAACTGCCAGAAAACAAAACTCATGCAGTGGGGAAAAACATGCTTCTCCTGTTCTTGAAGGTGAGCTGAATGAGTGCTGCAAAAATACGATGATTGCTAGAGTTGTAACAAGGTGCGGGGAGGATACAGTGAAGAGCGGGGATGGAAATAAGAAAAGAGGTGGAATGGTACATTCCTCTTCAGATTACCCATGGTTTAAATACCCTACATGATTTTATTATTTGGGCTATCTAGAATTTTATGTTTTAGTTGAATTAGCTGATGTAAAAGGTGAGTAATCATTCTGGAATTGTCTTGTCTGCAGCAGTGGTTTCTTTTGTGTTTGGTTTGGGGTTTTTTTTTTTTTTTTTTTTTTTTTTCTTTTTAATTGTTTTGGAAGGAAGCAGAAACAGACTGTAAGCCATTGAATCACCAATAAAATATTCCTGGTGACTTATTATCAAGATACTTATCAACTGTTCTGTGTACTTATTCATGCATTCTCTGCTGATAACCTATGTGATCATAGAGTAAGTTGGGATTTTCTTACTGTATTTTCTTCACTCCTTCGTGAATGTATGGAATTCTGAAATATTCTTTTTGTGTGATCCCTGTACATCTTTGAAGAGGGGGAAGTTTAGGTGAGTGGCTATTTGATTGGATTATAGTACTTACTAAGATAGGATTTGTGATGAAGAATGAGGGGCAAAGTGTAGAAATTGGTGTATGAATTGAAAGACAGAAGTGAAGGTTGGAGCCTTCCATAACTACAAAGTAGCAGGAGGAATTTGTATGTGCTTGTGTTGTTCAGTGTCCTTGCAATTCCATACAAGTGAAGGAAGAGTAGTTAGGGAATAATTGGTAAAAGCAGGGAAAAAGGAGGAATGTACTGCAATAAATGAAGTTTTTTGAGAGTTTCTGGCTTTCTTCCCTTATCTTTACATGTATCAATAGTGAATGTTGATTAATTTCAAAGTTTTGACAGATTTATACTAATTTGTTTTTCATTAGCCATCCAACATATCAAGTATTTCAGAACATAACTAGCATCCCGTGGTATTATTTACCTGGTAATAGCAGTGTCTTATTTACAAAAGAATATGATAAGTAACTCCTACAAAAATTCTTAAGTTGAAGACCTTCAGTTACAAGGAGTATCAGTGACAAACCTGCTCATCTTCAAGTAAGCTATTAAAAAGCACACCTTCCCCTCCCCCTTACACAGTCAGGAAAATGGCATGTCATTTTAGGCATGTTATAAACTGGCAGTAAAGTCTACTGCTCGTAGGCATATAATCTCTTGTTTCTTTGTTCCTGAACTAATCGTAAAATCAAGTTAATACTTGTCAATCCCTCTTCAGATCGCTTATGATTTTATAAAGTCACAGCTCAATCCTGTCACCTTATAAACTTAATGCTAGAAACTGTTAATACGATTTGTCAAACTACGTTCTAACCACCTCTCTGCTCTGAGTACAACACATATGTCTTCTATTTTCTTATTCAATTATACATTAATGGCTTATCTGAGATCTCCTTTTTGATTCTATGGCAGCTTAACTTCCTTAAGCATGTTCAGTGAATGACTAGCTGTTTTGTCAGATTGTATCGGAGATCCTTGCAGACTGTATAAATTGTATTTCCATTACGCACATGCTGGTTGATTCTCTCCTTTAGCTCCTTTAGCTCCTTTAGCTTTGGGAAACAGCGTCCTTTTACAGAAGCCATTGGTTGCTTTCCCCTTTACCCCTGGAATGTTGTGTAATACAACTCTGAAATGGAAAATACTATTCCTGTTGCAGAGAAATGCATACATGACACTTGGTCTCAGACACCATTGTTAAGTATAGGAGTCATCTTTGCTTTGAGGGGCATTGGCCATCCAGATCATCTCCTGACAAGTTTCTAGCTCTGCCATGGGACTCTAATTGATCCATTCACATTTCATAATGATTGGAGCTATGTCAAGGCAAGTGTTCCTGCTTTGTTAATAGCTACAAGGGGAATTGTTTCCACCTGTGCAACCAGGGCTTGCCCTGCCACTTTACCAGGTTCAATCACTGGTTCAGGCTGTGACCTAGCAGTTCCCATACACTCCACTGTTTCAGAACATGAACCAATGGCTGAGCATATCAGGGTCAAGCTATCCTTTGCAGTCTGGTTCATAATTGCAATTGTGACATTTGCTGTGATGCTGATATTATTTCCCATTGAGTGGATACAGTTTTTTCATCATGACTTAAAGAATCTATAATCTTCAATTATCGTAAGAATTATAGAATATTTAGAGTTGGAAGGGACCTTTAAAGGTCACCTAATCCACCTCCCCTGCCATAAACATGGACATCCCCAGCTAAATCAGGTTGTTCAGGGTTTGATCCAGCTTCGCCTTGAAAGTTTCCAGGATGGGGCATCCAGCACACCTCTGGGCAGCCTGTTGCAATGCCTCACCACCTTCACTGGAAAAGACTTTTTCCTTATGTCCAACCTGAATCTACCCTCTTGAAGCTTGAAGCCATTTCCCCACATCCTATCACCACAGACCCTGCTAAAGAGTCTGTCCCTTTTCTATAGCTCCCATTTAGATACTGAAATGCCACAGATCAGGTCACCTCAGAGTCTTCTCCATGTTGAACAGGACCAGCTCTCTTAGCTGGTCCTTACAAGAGAGGTGTTCCATCCCTCGGATCATTTGTGGCCCTCATCAGGAAGTGCTCCACCAGGTCCATGTCTCTTCTGTACCAAGGACTCCACATCTGTACACGTACTCCAGGTGAGGCCTCACCAGCACAGAGTAGAGGGGCAGGATCACCTCCCTCCACTGTGCTTCTTTTGATCCTGTCAAGGATATGGTTGGCTATCTGGGGTGTGAAGGCACATTGCTGGCTCATGTCCAGCTTCTTATCCACCAGTACTCCAGGTCTTCAGCAGGCCTGCACTCAATCATTTCATCCTCCAGCTTGTATTGGTAGTGAGAATTGCCTCAACCCAGGTGCAAAATCTTGCATTTGGATTTGTTGAACCTCATGTCAACTACACCCCACAGCTTGGTGTCATCCTCAAGCTTGCTGAGAGTGTGCTTGACCCCACTGTCAGGGTCATTAATGAAGATATTAAAGAGTATTGAGTAAAGAGTATTGATCCCAGCACTGACCCCTGTGGGATATGTCCTTCCAGCTTCTTTTGCAAGAAATGTTTGAAAGTCCATCATAAAATGTCACTGAAGAACAAGATACTGTGATAATTCTTCAGTGACACCAGAACTCCTTCTGCTTCTGTCTCTGTTGGTTTTCCTGGCAAGCCATGGACCTTGGGGAGAATAAAATAAGTATTTAATTGGCACTGAAAGAGGCAAATCTGCCCTCCATGGTGAAATACATACCGTATTCCTGTCCTGTGTCAAACTTTCCATTTGGACGAGGCATGTCCAGGCCTTTTATACTGCACCCTTTAGCCTGATATTGACGACTGAATAATTATATTAGGTATCAAAGGGGGAGTTTTGATCTGCTGGAGTGACATAATTAAGGTCCCCTTTGTAATGAAAATTGGAGTGTGTATTATAATTTCAGATGGCCAAGTGCCAATTTACTTGTGGTATTATCATTCATTTCCCTTCTAATAATTCCCACCGTGATGTAAGTAAGCCTCACCATTTTGGCCCCACTTGCACTTCCCAAAGTCATCTTCTAGATTCTCAGGGGCAGGGAGCAGAAGATTATTTATCATTCCAACTGGGGGTCTCAGTTGTATGTCACTTCTCTTAATTTGGATCCTAAGTGGGGAGGCCCAAGTTGTTTGTAACAT